AACGATTCCCACACACACAAAAAAAAATCCAATCTCAATGAAACAAGAAATCGAAAAATGACCAATGCTATTAAAGCAAATCAGCCTTTCCTCCTTTCTCCCAGTTCATTCTTTCAAAATGTTAAGAAATGAAATGTCATCCGTTTCTGAGCCATTAAAAAAACAAACTATGGGCTCACTGACTCATCCACTTACACTGTCTCTCTAAACATAAAACAAAAGAGGGTCACTGTTGACACACTTTCACAATAAACTCTACTACCCTGAGGATGAACATGTAACGGCTTACATGTTGTGAGCAGAAAAAGACTTCAACAATATAGAGATATGTTTATGAACATAATATTATGCTGTTGTGTTATAATATATGTTCTTTCTTTAGGTCTAACTTACAAATGAACAAAAAAAACAGCAAACAAACTAACAAAAACAAAACAATAAACAACACAAAACAATATGAATGCATCAAAAGGAGTAAAAACAAAATAAACTAAAAAACAAAACAACCCCCCCCCCCCAAAAAAAAGAGAAAAAACAACTAGATTATTGTTTGTTTTAGTAGAGGTTCTATGGCGCTCGCAACTGCATAAGGTCATATGAGCGCCAAGGGGTGGATGTCAACAGAGAAGTCCTTACAGGGAATCAGACTTACTCTGCTCACCTCTCTAGCTTCAACAGCACAAGGTCTGCTTCAACTATCAAGGCACCCCAGAAATAGTGGGTCCCAAGAGCGTGACAAACATACAAAAGAAGTAGAGGAAAATGACGATAGTAAGGATTAGGAAAGAAAAAGCAGCAGTTCCCTGTTGTAGTTCAGGCACAGCTATGAGCATGACATTGTTGGATCAGCCCATTTACAATTCTACCTTGCATTACAATGGGAAATGTCCCCCCTTTGGGACAGGCCTAAAGACACTTCAGTCAGTGGCACCGCCCCCGGAAGGTCAACTAGATTAAGACAACAGGACAGACAATGGTAATGCACAGGAAACACATATCAATAAAGTTGACATCTTTATCATAAGCTGACTCGTTACCTTTCAAATGAAGAGGTAGAAGTATAGGAGAAATGACAACCATGCAAGCAAAGGTGCACTTGTTTATACATATATAAGATATATATAACAGCAATAAACACTTATGGATAATTATAATGCACGTATATCTTGAATTACTGGTAAAGCACTTACATCTATGTCCCATACACTGTAAGTACACCATCCAGCAGAAGGAATGCTGTAACAAAAATGTTTGATCTTTGTTTGTCTGTCTACTGTGAGTAGTTTGTCGAAGTCGATGATTTCTTTTCCTTACAATTCAACAACGGTTTTTCTTTGAAGTATTACCCCTCCCCTGTTCCTCAAGACGATCTGAGAAATCTATTCGTAGTACTCATATCTTACATATAACAAATTACTCCTAAGACACAATTCCTGTCAACATAGAGGCTTAAATGATACAGCAGCATAACATTGACCTAAGGTAACCTGTGGGGTTTAGGACGCATACATTTAAAATGTTAAGACTACAGAAAATTCTTTTTTCTTTTAAATGTAGGTTTTTCAAACTCCCCCATTGACACAATTTAGATCAACTAGGACGTCACTTTCAACACTGCCTGTCCAAGCCACCCTGGGCTGAGAGGGATACAATGTCCAAAAAGAAAAACCGAGACACTCAATAAAAATTCTCCTCTCATGGTAATCAAACACAAGTCTTCTGCATATGCCAATGAAGCACCTGACCACAACAACACGAACACCTGAACTACAAAAAAAACATAAATACACAGGTTGTAGAACCATGAAAGCGGTAACAGAAAAGTCATAATTGAAAGCAAGGGGACCAGTCAAATAAAGCCATGTAAATCTTTTTAAAAACTGTGCTACTTCTGCATGTGTGGACACTACTAGCACATTTCTACTGTACTTAACAAACAACCTCCAGCAACATTCCCTGATGTCTAGCCAGCAGGGCACATTACAATAACACATTAGTAGAAAAATTCAAATAAGGTTCACTGCTAGGAGTTCACATTTTTCTTCAGTAATAAGGCAAATCTTGATCAGACGCTCATCTCATCTTGAAACATGTAACTTCTCATCTTGTCTGCTTTCTCAAAATCTTATAAGTCCCAAATTTCAATACATACAGTCAGCTGCACTTCTGACAGGAACACTGTCCTGTTTGCGGAGAGGTAAAAAGATGAGTTGAGCACAAACGAAACATTGGAGGGTTCATCAAGTCTCTCTCTCTCTCTCTCTCTCTCTCTCTCTCTCTCTCTCCCTCCTTCTCTCTCTCCCCCTCCCTCCCTCCCTCTTTTTCTTTCTCTCTCTCTTTCTCTCTAGCTGCCTCAGAGGCCTAAAGCCAACAGGCCCAAAAAAAATTTAAAAAACAAAAACCATACCCCATAGCAGCAGCAGAAGCTGTTGCCCTTACAGCTCATACACACCATAAACAAAGAACCTCCTGCCCACCCAATGTGTAAGGCAGCCTTTCCACAGCAGAGGGAGGAGGTCACAAGGCCTGCCTACCCAGCAGAAATGAAATCTTGCCTCATCCGGCCACACTGTACAAAGGTCTACTTGCCTATACAAAACAAAAATAATAAAAGCTTTCTACAGTTAAAGGCTAATAATTCTTCGAGTCCTGCCCATGACCCTGACATCTGTGACATGACAATATTTCACTATCTCAAAATTTAAAAAACCCAAAAATCATTATGACTTGTAAAGACATCACACGTCCTTCCATGCACAGCAGGTGATGTCATCAACAACTCTGAGAACAGGACTACTTCTGAGGTCTTTAAGCAGGTCATGCTGCCACTCCACAGTTAAGTGACAGTAAACAAAGAGATATCCCCTATCTAAGTACGACCTACAAAAATGGGCACACTGTGGAGTTTCAGATAAAGTGTATCATCGTACTGTATGCAAGGCCATGTCATAAGCCAGCACACATGGTAATTCTTGAAAAGCACCAAAAGGAAAATAAAACGAAACCTGGATTTTTTTCATGTTTGTTGAGATGTTGTGCAATTTATACTGCCTGTCAACGTGAGGATCATTATGTCCAATTGAAATAGTTTTCAATGCGTGAGGTAGGGGTAGAGGCTTATTTAAAGCTTACAAACGATCTTGTCTGGTTAAAGTTACAGCCTTGGCTGTACAGAGAACAGACCCAATAAAAACATTTACTTCTTTGCAACCTTCATTAGTCATATAAACTAACCAATGAAAGTAACAGTGAAGCTGTTTTAGAAATAACAAAGACCAAGTATTGGTCTTTTAAACTACCCTCACATACACTTCAGTTAAAAAGGCAGCAAGAGATTAGATGAAACCCTTGCCTCAGATAATCCTTCTATAAATGATCCCTTGTGTCACAGTATTTCAGATGGTCACAAGTTATACATCTTGCAGACCACTCCTCCAAAAGTATTCACTGCCAATTTTGTTAAAAGTACTTTAAGTAAACAAAACTCATAAAGAATGGCTTGAGTAGAATAAAATTAAAACAAAATATATACATATATCTTTCCATTATCAATATAAAATGCTGTGAAACATTTAAACTTAAGCATAAAAACTGGCTAATAAAGTAAAGAGGAAGAATGTAGTGTAGTGCTATCATACTCTATGTGTTTCATGCATTCAAACACTGCTGTACATCACACAGTGATCTCTAGAACCAAAAATAGAATAGAATAATCAAAAGCTCTGATTCCGACAATAGAGCTATGGTGCCTCAAGAAATAAACAGAACAAAACGAAACTGATTACTTCTAATCTATCAAGAGTCTTCATCAAACACAAAAAACAGAGACTGTACACCGACAGCAATATTCACTCGGCATGCAGTGGTCACGACTATACCAACACACCACTGTAAACCTATTTTCTCCTATTCCAAGCCAAGACTTCAAAATCATAAATATAAAATCTAACTATTCTTTTATTGACATTCAAAGGAAACGTAACACCTCATTAAGTCATTCTTGCATAATTTCTTTCATATTAAATTCCTTGATGTCTTGATTTCAAGTCCAGCTCTAAGCCTTCCCAAACTTTTAATAAATAATCTTATAATCCAGTAGCATGAAAAAACTGAAAAATATTGTGCTGTCGGATAATGAAAGAAATTCTGATATAACTGGAGAGGACGTATAGCAACGTATGCATAATCTACAGACAATCACTCCAAAGAGAAAAGGTCAACAAAAATCAACAAAAATATCACATATACTATGGTCAAACATGAGTTTTCAACAACAGACCTTCCCAACAAAACATAGACTGTGCCACCCAAGCACAGAAAGAGAGGGTTATTACAGTTTTGCCGTATCTGATACCGTCATTCATTGACCTTGAAAAACAATCCCCATCACATCATCAGAAAATGAGTGAATGATGTGATAGAAATTTTCAAAAGAAACTTCCACAAGCTTTCACTACGAAATATACATACCGAACCCAATGATACAGACACACCCATAAACACACACATACAAGATGTGCGCATGCGCACGCACACACACACACACACACACACACCCACATACACACACACAATATGTGCACACACACATATTCGAACACATACACATGTGTGATGACATGAACATGTGCACACCACACAGATACACACTTATACTTAAACACGCAGTAGGAACTTGCAAAAAACATTTTAACAGACAACAACAACAACAAAAACCCAGACACAATGAGCATGGATTCATTAGAACAGATAGAAAGCATTCACAAAAGGATTACTAATGAGAATGTCTTTAAATACAAATGTGTACCCGTCACTGAAAATAACACTGAGGCTACTGAAGCAGGAAGCTGAACAAAACCTTACTAAAGTATTCTTGAGCCAGTTTCTATTTTCTTTACCTGTCAAGAGTTAATGTGAAAAATCTGTTTGAATGAGAATAAAATTCACTTTCTCCATACAAAGTTCACGTCAATACAAAATAAGGCATAGACATTTCCTTTCATAGAGTGGCTTTAAAGTTTACTGTTTCAGAATAAATTTTTCGATAAAGAGATAGCGCAACAAATAAATATTCACTAGTACCGGAATATAGTTTCAGCTCACATAAAGGTCTCAGAGAGCACAAAGCTGCAGCAGGCAAAATTCTTCATCATCACTACGATTATCTGAAAATTTTTCATCCAGGTGCACAGCATCTAGCAACTGGGAATTCGCGGCTTGCCATCGTTAGAAGCATAAATAAACAAGAGCCAGGAAAACATTTGCCCGAGTGCAAAGCATACATGTGCCACAAGCAAGAAAAGTGTCCAGATTCGATAACCATGGTTTTGTCATTGAAAAACTTAGTATCATAACCAAAACGTCATTTCATAGAGCAGTTTCAGAGTACTCTTTTCAGCAGCTTAAGCCTCATTCTGACAGGGTACAAAACAAAGTGATATGAAGAAGTTTTTATGTGGTGAGAGAGCAAGCAGAGGCTAGCGCTAACTGACACTGCCACTGAACAACTCAATGAGTACGGGTCTGCTCTGAATGGCCGAGTAGGACTCCAAACCCATCCGTCGAAACGTATCTCGGCAGTCCTTGTCGACTGTTCGCATGCCAGAGAGGAAGTTAACAATCCTGGACAACATCTCGCCATGATGGTCGGGGAACGTAATCCGCAACAGCAGCATGAGGCATTGCACCATCCTCTGGTGCAGACGCTCCACTTCATAGCGGTCGGCCAGTTCCACACGATCTGCAGGGAAATGAGGAAGAGGATTTTAAAAATAAGATTTGATAATTATTGTGGTTGGAGAATGAGTTCAGTATATTGGGGGGGGGGGCACAATTCAGCAAAGACATGGATTAACTGTCAGTCTCGTTCAGTGGAGTTGGGTGGAGACATGACAATGACAATGACAATGACAATGACAATCTTTATTCATCTCGCAGGGAGAAATTTGTCTTGGTCGTTAACAATGGCAGTAGACGTTACAAAAGTTAGACCTAAAGGTGCACTCCCGCAAACGCACAACAAGAATGGTAATTACGCCAAGTAAATACATGTCTCACGTGCTGGGACAACCTGCTCCGTAAAACATTCTCTCTCTCTCTCTCTCTCTCTCACTCTGTTTTAATTGTAGCACTGTGTGTCCAGTAGCCTCACTGTAGTTGGTACGAATGAATTTCTATATCTGTCTGTTCTTGCTTTTTTGGAAATGTACCGTTTACTGCGGGTCGAGAGTAGAAATTCCAATGTCAGCGGGTGGCTATGGTCACTAAGCATTATTTCTGCCTTTTTTAGAACGTCCGTCTTGGGCAGATATTCAAAGTTACTTAGGTCTCTACCAATTGTTCTTGATGCCTTTCTTATCAGCTTGTTTATTTTTATAATGTGCTGCCTTCCCAAATTGCTACTATAGCAAGTGATACCAAAATTTATCAAATTTGCTATGGTGGTGGTGTAGAATATCTGAAGGATGCATGGATTCAGATTGAAAGACCTTAGTTTCCTCAGAAAGTACAGCCTCTGATTTACCTTTTTAACGATATTGTTTACGTCGTTTTGCCATGTAAATTTGTTGCCGAAACATAGATAATGTACAGTCCTGTACGGTTGGACGGAATCAGCAAAAACATGGATTATGTACAACTGCTACTTTGTTCATCTCAGGTTGTTTGGGTGGGTGACCAAAATAGCAAATTAACAGACAGATCGATGCAGAATAAGGTATTCCTGAATAACTGAGGGACTTGTAACTCTTAGCGTGAAGGTGTTTGTCTCTCATACCGAAGTAGCTGGTTATACAAATCACAATTCAGGCAAGAGCAGTGGTCATTTCATATCTTATAGGGATTTTCTCTGTTCTTTCCCCCATGGTAGGCAGGATTTAGTGCTTCAAAAGTAAATGTGTTCCTTTAAGAATTTATTTCTTTCGGACAGTAAGATACCCAAGAAATGCTAAACCCTTCAATAAAGATGTCACCCCAAAAAAATTCTACAAATGGGCTCAGCAAATAAAGTGCAAAGAAATGCTCACTTTTGTTAGAGTACAGCACAGCTGCAGAGAAGGATTTACGCATTAGAAAATATTAGCAACTATAAAATCTTAGGCATCTCCTTAATGGACTCACCAACCCCCCCCCCCCCCCCCAAAAAAAAAGATGAAGGCACAAGAAGACAAAGAGAAATCATCTGCTAGACACAAATAAGTAATCTGATGATCAATTACTTGGCACGAAGGAAAAAAAAAAAAAAAAGAAGTCAGGTTACGTACATCATTGCATACATCGTCATCCTAATAGCCTTCTCAACCTTTGAGTCATCAAAGTGCTGCCTAGACTATGTGTACCAGAGTTCTACTTTGTTGCACAGGGTGATATCTCCCCTGCTGCAAATCTGAGCACAGATATCCAGCTATTCAGTGTCTGAATCTCCTGCTAATGTGTAACAGTACAAATAAATAACAGCTGCTATCCACTAGAGGAACAAATAGCATTCTCCCAACGAACGTCCAAAATTAACCAACAAAAAATCAGAGATGTCACAGTGATTTTGTAAAAACACCTAAGAATCTATGATTCTACACTTGCACACAAAAAGACAGCTAATAAACAAAAAAAATATAGGGTTAAACAGAAAACAAACGCTCAGAAAAATGACAGTTCTTCGAGTTAAAATAACAGAAATAAAACCAAAAATAGAACAACAAAAAACCAGAACAACAGCATCTCTGATTGCTTCATACCTGGGAAAAACAGGCAAACTGCTTTCATGATCACCATTATTTCGTAGCTTATGTTGAGCTTCTGCAGTCTCTCCGTCATGTCGAAGATGATATCCAAGAAAGTCTTATCATGGATCCGCTCCAAGTCGTGAATGCAGTAGCTGCGGCCCAGCTCCACCACCACCCATCTCTCGCGGTTGTATCCACGATAATATGACAGCGTAAACAGCTCGTATATACTGGCTGTGAAAAGACATCGAGAGGTAAGAATAGTACCCTTTCTTTTTGTTTGGTTCTCAATTATTAGAATTCAACACAATTACGAAGATACCTTTCCTATTGTCAGTGCTGAACCTATTCATGATGTAATCTTTTCAATGATCAAGACAAAGCCTATAAGTGATGTGTTATATTCAACAACCGTTACTAAATCTTTTAATATAAAATATTTTCAATCTTCTTCTAAGGCTACTATTTACAGCAGATCCTCCTAACTCCAGAGTAGTTTTGGGTCTCCCTACCTCAGGTAGGGTCAATATTTCCTTGTAACGTTTTCAATAATCATTACTCAAGTCTTTACAGGACGTGAACTTTCCAACAAACCAAAAACATGGTCATATGAAGGAGTCACTTCTCCTTAGCAGTTCACATACATGTACACCTCATTCATAAACACATGTAGTAAAGAATTTGTTTCCACTTTTGAAAGCAACCAGTAGTCCAGGTAAATATATTTCTCAACAATCCAAAAGTACATTTTTGTTGTTTACTTACCCATCTTTGTCAAACATCTCCGACACAAAGAAAAAAAGGAATTATTTGTGAGTGTGCCTGGTGAAAGGTACCAAAGGACGTATTTGTTCAAACCGAGATATCAGGCTTCAAAGGTCAAAAACGAAATTTTTGACCAAAAAAAAGTTCCAGTAAAAATGGATTTTTTAGCCATTAATATATATCGATATTTACAAGGATTTGAGTTTCCTTTTACTTTTAAATACATTTCTAAAGATGTTTTTAACACAAGTTACATTGCATAATCTCCCAAAAATGTGTGAGAAATGTGGTTTTCCAAGTAAACCCTGCTGATGGTTTCTCTTGTCTATTCATAAAGTCGACCCAATCACAACACATACCAAATTCAGGTCGTTCTCTCCCCTCTCTAATGGTGGGTAGTGCGCATGAATATCTAAAACATGTAAACAAAGTGAAGCTTTGCGCATCCACCCCTTTTGTTTCTGAAGAGAGCAAACTTGTATCGGCTAGATCTATTTCTGCCCAGGGCAAACATATTTCTTAATAATTCTGGTTCCAGGTGGTGGTGATTTCGTCTTGAACACATAATATAAACACTTTGAAGCTTTTTAAAGTTGTTTTTTTGAGTAGCGAATGAGTTATCTGGTCGTCTCGATGCGTATCTATTTGAAGCACAAAGGGGAAACTTTCAAGCCATTTTTCTCAAAACTTTGTTGCCATACCCTGCCCTACAAAATCACCTATATCTAAAAAAACTATTGAAGATATCTTAAAAATTCAAAAGGCATATTGTTCAAAAACGATCTCTGTATATATGAAAATGCAAAAAAACCCCAAAAAACTGTGATTTTTCAAAATATGTCATTTGGTACCTTTCACCAGGCACACACACATTTTTTTACCAAAAGAATGATCATGGAAGCAGTGACCAAAACCAAAAAATAGAAGCATAACACCTGCAAATTAGAAGGTATTTTTCCAAACAAACAAAGAAGATAACGGAGCAAGAAAGAATGGAATTTCATTAGACATTTTGTCCCTTCAGAACTATTTTGTCCTAAGGGCACTCTATAAGTTAAATGCACTTAGAACAGAACAGTCCTGAGGCAATGAATTATATCTGTCATGAGAAAATTCTGCAGCCAGTGACAAATGATCATAAATGCTTTGCATCCTCATTGATACATACAAGAAGCTGGATGCTTTGACTCAGGCATGACCTGGGCCAAGGGTAATGCAACATCCTAGTAAAATGACAGAGATCATCATCATCAAGAGCCTGATCTGCGACAGATATTGGTGGTCATGGTTCGCCATTCATTCCTTAGCTCGGATGCTCTCAAAAAAGCAATATTATCCTGAACTGTCCCTGTCACCCATCTGTTTAGGCTTTTCCAATCAGTTGCTCTGGGTCTACCCCTGCCACGCCTGCCTTCAATTTTACCAGTGAGAACTAGATGTTCAATGCCTTTAAATCTATTCGAGAGTCCCGGAAACTGCATTTGTCTCTTCCCAATTGCTTATATAAGCAAGCAGGATACTTGATAAAATAGACATCTCTACGTGGGGATCCCAGTTCACTCCTTTAGCAAGAAATGATGAAGATAAAACAATGTCATTAAAATATCACAAACATGAGAACCCATGTGAGGGGTGAGTGCTTGTGAGTGCTCTGGTGTGGTTTGCTCCTAATTTCCCATCAAACATCTATCAACCTTATCTCTTCTTGGTTTGTTTTTTTTTTAAATACATTTCTCTCAAGAACACCTGTGATCTTCAGAACTTATATGACCTATTTGTGTTGAAGGTGCCATTAAACTCTTACAAAACCTAGCAACTAAACCATATGAAGCCAGTCTTAGCAAATACGCAAGCAGGCATTGAGACTCACCTTTCACAAGAACAGTTTGATCCGCAATCCTGAGGGACTTAAAGCCAGGGATGAGTTTCAGGAAGGAAATCATCTGCCGAATGTCCTGGTCCATGCGGCCGACACAGTAGTCAATGTCTTCAATCCGTCCATCCACGTCCAGCCCCGTGCTGTTGTAAATATCTAGGGCCTCATCTTTCTCTAACGTTCCCATGTCGCCAAAAACCTCAACTTTCAACTTGCAACGTTCCTACAAGATAAAAGATGACACTTTCAATAGTTATGAGTTCACTTCATTTACCCCATATCCAAATGGCCTCATTTTGTGAAACAATTAGATGTAAAAAGCATATACCCATTTCCACACCTATGCACAGAATGTACACACTCATACATTCAAAACACAAAACACACAGTTTCACATGATAAGCAGCTCAAAGAAAAAAGATGATCCAAATCAAAGTCCTCTGGCAACCAAAATAATTAATCCAGATCAAACTATACAAAGCAAGAGCACAGGCTTGATCCAGTGCCCAATGTAAAGAATAAGACTTCATGGTCGTGGATAAGAAAAACATTTCACACAGCACAAGACAAAACAGAGAGAGAGAGAGAGAGAGAGAGAGAGAGAGAGACAGACAGACAGACAGACAGACAGACAGACAGACAGACA